GCCCAGGCTGGGTTTGGGGGTGCCCAGCGTGGGTTTGGGAGTACTCAGAGTGGCTTTGGGGTGCCCAGGATGGGTTTGGGGTGGGTTTAGGAATGCCCAGGTTGGGTTTGGAATGCCCAGGGTGGGTTTGGGATGGATTTGGGGTGCCCAGGATGGGTTTGGGGTGGGTTTAGGAATGCCCAGGGTGGGTTTGGGATGGATTTGGGGTGCCCAGGATGGGTTTGGGGTGCTCAGGGTGGGTTTGGGATGGGTTTAGGGGTGCCCAGGGTGGGTTTCGGATGGGTTTAGGAATACCTAGGCTGGGTTTAGGGTGCCCAGGGTGGGTTTGGGAGTGCCCAGGGTGGCTTTGGGGTGCCCAGGATGGGTTTGGGATGGGTTTAGGGATATCTAGGGTGGGTTTGGGATGGGTTTGGGGTTGGTTTGGGATGACTCTAGGGATGCCCAGGATGATTTTGGGGTGTCATGGGGGGTTTGGGAATGCCCAGAGTGGCTTTAGGATCAATTTGGGGTGCTCAGGATGATTTTACGATGCCCTTGATGCATTTAGGACACCCCAGTTACATTTTAGGGGCTCCCAACCACCTCCTCTCCACACCCCCCATTCCCATCCCCATCTTTTTGGGGGGTGGAGTAACACAGGGTGGATTTGAGCCACATCCACCCAACCCCCCCCAATTTTTGGGGTGTCCCTTCCCCCCCCAGGTGGACATTTGGTCTTTGGGGGTTATGGTCATCGAGATGGTGGACGGGGAACCCCCTTATTTCAACGAACCCCCCCTCAAAGCCATGAAGTTGATCCGGGATAATCTCCCGCCCCGGCTCAAGAACGGACACAAGGTAACCTGGGGTTCATTTTTGGGGGGTTTCCCCCTTTTTGGGGGATTTTTGGGATTTTTTGGGGATTTTTTGGGATTTTTTGGGCACCTTTTGGGGATTTTTGAGGGGATTTTTTGGGGACTTTTTGGGGATTTTTTGGGGACTTTTGGGGGATTTTTTGGGGACTTTTTGGTGAATTTTTGGGGAATTTTTTGAGGACTTCTTGTGGATTTTTTGGGGACTTTTTGAGGGCATTCTGAGGACTTTTTGGGGACTTTTTGAGGACTTTTTGGGGACTTTTTGGGGACTTTTTTGAGGACTTTTTGGGGGCATTCTGAGGACTTTTTGGGGACTTCTTGGGGACATTTTGGGGGACATTTTGGGGACTTTAGGGGGACTTTTTTGGGACTTCTTCAGGACTTTTTTTTGGGGACATTTTGGGGTTTTTTTGGGTATTTTTTTTTATTTTTGGGGGATTTTTGGGGATTTTTTTGGGACTTACGGGATTTTTTGGGGGGATATTTTAGGAATTTCAGGGGTTGTCTCACCCTGCCCCCTTTGCAGGTCTCTCCATCCCTGAAAGGATTCCTGGAGCGGATGTTGGTGCGGGACCCCGCGCAGCGAGCGAGCGCCCCGGAATTGCTCCGTCACCCCTTCCTGGGCGTGGCCGGACCCCCCGCCTGCATCGTCCCCCTCATGCGGCAGCACCGGCTGCGGTGAGACCCCTCCCCCACCCTGGGGGAGACCCCCCCC